TATGACAATATGCTTGTCAATTCTTCAAACCTTTCGTAGGACCCATAAAGTGTAATGTTTTCATCTTTGTGTGTGCAGCTCACCCAACAAATCATACCTAACCTGAGCCCAATCATCTTCTGTATGACCAATTGAAGCAACTATAGCCTTGAAACCACAATTCCCATCTGCAGCTACATCCTTGACAAACTTAATGTATGGTTTCAACCCAGAAGGGAAAGCATCAACATATGCACCAGGTTTCACTGTTCTAGTAATGTATACCTTCCCTTTCGGATTCACTTTCTCCTTTCCCTTAACAGGTCGCTTCTTCTTGGTTTGCAGAGTAGAAGCTAATGTAGTGATTTGAGTATCCCTAGGTGAGAAGGAATCATGTCCAGATTGCACCAACTCAAATGCACACAGGTCACAACGGGTAGAAACATTGATCTTCTTATGATCCCGAGGACGTGTTTTGGGTTTCACCTCCGGCTCAACAAGAAAAGTGCTTCTCGGATATACAATCTCTTTCAACTTCTTCAAAAGCTCCAACCGCATGGTTCTATCACTTTCATTAAACTTGTTCACAAACAACTCTACTTCTGCATGACAACTCACCCCCGTTTCCTCTTGTTTCTAGCATATGGAGATATGAAATTGCCTCCACTGTGAGTGTATGGTAGCAAGTGGTATAGGACGATCTTGTCTGATGTAGTCAGCAATCTCATGGGCACAAGGTAAACCATGAGTGTAGCGAAGGACGGTTCCACAAGCTTCAACATCAATACCAATGGAATTGGCTCTCTTACTCTCTACAAGCAAATACTCCAATGTAGAGATAGACACATTACCCCGCAGCTCCCTGAACTGAGAAGGTTTAAATTGATGTTGCACAATAGTTAGACTTTTCTTAAATGAAGCCTTGATATCAGTGTGTTGCAACTCAAGCAGACTGTGTATTTTCTCAAATGATGCCTAAAATGAGACTTGACATGAACCCAATTGTCTTTTAAGTTTTACATGTGCACTCTCAGTCCTGTTCAATTCAATGTAAGTCAAATTAAAATCAAGTACATGGCATTTATTAATAACATATTGAAGAAAAGTAATCTTACCGGTTCGTTATAACATTGCCACAATGCATACACGTGTCTGTCCATGCTGCTACAAATTTTTCCTTATAAGGAACCAACCAAGTATCCATGACGTATTTGACTGCATCAGGATAACTACTGAATTCCTTAAGTAATGATTTAAGACGCTCATCGTATTGAATTTCAGAAGATGAATACACTAAAGAGTTCCACTAATGGTTGAACTTCTCCCATTTCTGCTGTGTCTCAAACATTTTCTTGCATTTGGTCAATATATTCTTACTGATATGCCAACGACATAATAAATGTCTGCCATTTGGGAATATCTTCTGTATGGCGTTCATCAAGGCTAGCTCTCTGTCAGTAGCAATAATTATTGGCACAACAAAACCATCCATGACATCACGCAATGTAGCTAACACCCACGCATAGTTATCGACCCTCTCATACTATAAGTATGCGAAAGCTACAGAGAATGTCATTTCAGTTGATGTCACTCCCACAATTTCAAGAAGAGGAAGACGATATCTGTTGGTTTTATATGTGCAATCCATAATTAATATACGTGGGAAAGACCAAAATAAGTCCAAACTGGTAGGATGTGCCCAAAACAAGTCTGTTACAGTCATCGTGAAATCTTCAGATCGATGGCGCTTAATGTAATTATACTTGGCCAATTCACCCAATAAGTGTCGCATCTGTGATCTTCCAGCTCTCTGTACCACCCTGTTTCGATGGTGTACATTGTAAATGGTTTTAAGTGTGCTTACATTTAGGGCATCTCGCTGTTTCAAGGTTACTAGGATTTCTTTTGGCCGAACCATGCTCTTTGACATATCCGTTAACAATGCTTTCTTATCCTTTGATAGCCTCCCCGCATATGAATGTCCCTCAAGGTGCTCCGCAGGTGGATGATTATGCAATCCGCATACTACGGTCAATGTCCATTCATCATGTGGTAAACCTGTGAGCCCTTATATCAAAAGGACAACCACACTTCTTCGTACCGGTTATTCTTGATGTATTGTTGCTATCATGTTTTAACTTCTTTGTTGCTCTATATTGGCCACTCCTCTCACAAGCAAGATACATCTTGGGTCTTTTTTTCCTTCCACTATAGTTTGATGTTTTGATTACAATGACCAAACCATTTCTCTTTTCAACTTCACGTACCCAGTTGAGCAATTCATCCTTACTTTTGAATACCTACAAAGTCAAATAAATATTATCAAACATTTACATTTGGTGAGCAATTCGAAACATAATCATTATAATTTCGTAGAGTGAACCTGTTCAGTTGTGAATTGAGTAGTGCAATCTAACACAAAATCCGTGCAAACCTGACTTCCTTGAGTTGACACATATTCCTACATGTTTTGTATAACATTACAAATTTTTAATGGCATTATAAAGATTAATTTGCAATTCGAAACTGTAAATTTGGTATGCAGTTTGCAAATTTGGAATATAAAATGGGAATTTTTTTTTTACTTCATTCAGAAGTACTTGTCCGAATTTATTTTAAAATTTCGAAAGTTGAATGTTGTAAAAGTTAACTTTGTTCGGACAACAACTTCCGAATTTAAATACTTTGTTCGAACAACAACTTCCGAAATTAATTACTTTGTTCGGACAACAACTTCCGAAAATAAATACTTATTTCGGTAGTAGATTTCCTCCAGAGCACGATGTGTACCATATCACAAGTGCCATAACTAAATAATGAGTCATAATCAAACACTTTGTATAACTAAAGATCTTTTCAATCATAACCAAAATAATAATCTAGGTCATGACCAACATCACAATGAGTCATACATAACTAACACCACAATGGGTCATAACCAAATACCAAAAACATCATAACTGGGCATATGGTACACACCATTTTGGAGTGTGTATTATTGAATTTCCCTTATCTGAAAGGCTGTTAGCATATAAGAAAGTTATGAAAATAAAGCCGGTGTGGAAGGCCTTGAGCTGTATCAGTCAGTCATGTTGGTTCAGTTAATGATGAGATCATGGATACCCCACTTTCTGAGGAAAATAAACCTAGCCACCGTAGATGGAGTTGTAGTTATATTAGGATTTAATTATACTCGTCTGTGGCAACAAATAAGCTATGTACCCATCCAGGGATGATGTACTTTTTGTATGATAAAAACAATTAGAAGGGTTGTTGGTCGTAGAGGAAAGGGTTTCTTGAGTCCTAGTTAAACTAGGTTCAAATCCTAGCTGAGCCAGGCCCTTATTGTAAACAGTAAGTCCAGAATAGATTTTACAATTTTGGGACCATTACTGTGATGACCGGGTCCCTCTTTCTCTCTTTCATTTCCTTCTTTTTGGTGTCGTTCTCTTTTGGCTCTCGTTGGGTTTGAAACGTTCGGGGGGCGTTCCCAATCGAAAACTATTACTCTTGTCTTGTTCGGTGTCGATTTTCATTAGTTCCGGAGAGCATGGGGTTAGGTCCGAAGTGCCCGGGAGTGAAGCGAAAATCTGTTGGGTTGCTGGGCCAGGGCCGCACGTGCGGGAGGCCAAGCCGCACATGCGGGAAGAGAGGTGTTTGGCTGGGGAGCACACTGCTTAAAAAGCAGGTGCGGGAGGATTCCCGCACGTGCGGAGATGAGGGCCGCACGTGCGAGAAGGGGCGCTCCGCACGTACGGGGATGGGTGCCGCACGTGCGGCACTCTGCAGTCCGAAAATCCCTGTTTTTTTTCCTTTTTGGTCTGAAGGTGTATCTCATTTTTGACACTTCTCTCTCTCTCTAAACCATATTTTCCTCTTCCTTCTCTCTAGAAAAACCTCCCCAAACACCTATAGACTTTGATCCTTGCAAATCTTGAGTTGAGAATCATCATCTTCTCCCTCCAATTTTGAAGATCAAGAGTTGGAGCCCCATTTGGTGTGGTGGAAGTCAAGCTCTCTCATCTTTGATTTTAGGGTTTCTTCTTCCAATCTTCTCCAAAACTTTGAGGTAGGGAAATTTCCATGAATTATATATATATTTATGTTAGATTTGGTTGGTTTAAGGGTTTTTCATAAATGATGTTGGGAGTTTGGTCTTATCTCACAAATGCTAGAGTTTCAATGGTGGGTTTGATTTCTCTCTCTTTCAAACTATCTTCATGAGGAGTATAACTCACATAATAAGAGAGTTGGTGTCATGAGAGAAAACCTTTTCAAAGGATGGAGATGTTTGCATTGTTTTTGACAAAAACCCTAGAAATTTTGGGAAATTTTATAAGATATGAACATGCTTAGAGGTGCCTTGTTGTTCTATAATGAAAGAGTAAACTTTCATCATATGTTTTGCAAAAATGGTAATTTACATGATACATGAGAGATGAAATGTGATTTTTTTTACTTTATGGTTGAGCATTTAAAGGTGTGTTGTTGTGAGACAATAAATGGTTGGGTATAGGGGTTCATGTTTGAAAGACATCACTTGTGACCTCGAAGGGGATAAATTGTTATGAATTGGACAAGTTGTGGGATTGTTGTTGCTATAATTGATGGCATGGCCATTGTGAAATAGTGTTGAGGAGAAGTAATGAATAATGTAGTAAATTTGATTTTGTTGTAGAAACGTTTTATAATGGGAAGATGTTTTGAGATACCTTGTATTGCATCATGCCTCCATTTGATTTATCATTACTATTGCCATCCTCATCATGTTTAATTTGAGAAGAATTACACTATAATGAGAACCATGAAACTGTGTATGGGGTAAATACGGTGGTAAGTCCGGTTAGGGGGTGTAGATGAATTTGATAAGTTGACCTGAGTGTCCATGGTGAAAGACCAGAAAACCGCACGGATAGGTGTCGAGCCTTTCGGTTAATACCGGTAAAAATGACAGTTTGGTAGTACTCGTAGGGTCTACTTGCAGACACCAGCATAGGAATTACCAGTGTCGTATTTACCGTCCCCTTGTGATTAAAAAGTTTTAAATTTGGAAATTTATGAGATTGGAATTGTAGATGAAATGCATGGTGTTTCTCAAAAAAGACATAAATGATATTTTGAAAAGAGTATTGCATCGCATTTGCACTTACATTCAATTTTGACCATCTAACATAAACGTATATACTTTGTTTGGTATTTCTCTACTGGACTTTATGCTCACCCCTATAGATTTTGGTACAGGTAAAGACGTGGTAATCCCGCCAAGTTGAGGGCGTGGGTAATTGTAAAGGGCACATGGCTTTTCTTTTGTTGTGACTTCTTTTGTAAAGCCAAGGGCTAACATGTTTGGGTTCGAAAGACCTCTTTTGTGTAACCGGGCTACAGCCTTGAAAGATGTAAGCCCGTAAGGGCACTTTATTATTTTGATAATAGGTGCTTCACACGCTATAGATTCATATATCTTTTTGTTTAGTGAATGTATACTGCATGTGGAACTTTTGTATTAAATCCATTTATTATATAAATGAAGATGGAAGAGATATTGTCATTGTATAGAGAATGTTTGTTCATTTGGGGGTTCATGTTGGATTATTTTCGAGGCGTGACAATTATGGTATAAATACGTAATGCATACAAAATGTATTTTAAAAGTCCATTAGGTTGGATCACCTACGTGAACATCCTCTATACAAACTGTTCCCTAAATATGTTAATACGCTCTAAGCCAACCATGGCTATTTATGTTGTAGAGGTCAGTGTTCTTTGTTAGTGTAGTAACAATCATGCTAAATGCTAATTCAACTTTCTCTGAAAAATTATTGGTATTTTTTGGAGTAACTTGTAGGAAAAAGTCAATCTCCATAAGTGAATCCAAATTTTATGCTGATCATCTTGCATCAACAACTGAGTACAAGTTTGCAATAAAATCCATTTACATGTCTTCTTTCGTCATAATCAGAAACAAAATGTTTTAGGTTTTAAATTTATTTCTCTTTGCTTCCTTAGTTTTCTCAGCAACTAAATATAGAACCAATTATTTTGAAGGTTGAGGCTCTGTATATTCATGATACTGTACTTTACAGGCTGCAAGTGCAGTTGCTTCGGCTACAATGACACCATTGAATGCTGAGGCTCCTCCAAACAAGCTTGTTGAACTGGTTTCAAAGGTTTGTATATATTTGCTAAAGTTTTTGTTCTCAAGTTTTTAAAATTTTTCATTGTTTGGCAAGGCGAAAATTTATTAGTCTAAGAAGTTAACAGGGTCTTGCAGTGGAGAAAGATGAGATGTTAAGAGGGATTTCTTCATCTGCATTGTTTGATTCAGGTGCAGCAGTACCTGTGGGATATGGTTCAATACCAGCTCCTCGCGCTGTCGCTGTTGATTTTGGGTAATTTGTTTCTCCAACTCACAGTCCTATTTTTCTGTTTATGCTTTGTTGTTATATCATTTACTTTTAATGCTTGCTTCCATTGGTTTTAGTATGTCATACAGTAAAATGCACTATTATTGTAAAGTATGTCAAATATCTTGTGTTTGGCAAATGAGAACTGATATGTGTATGCACTTTTTAATGTAATAATGTATTTACGCATTACAGTAATTGCAAAAAAGGTGCATGTGTGGAATATGCTTCATGGCATGCTACGTAGTATATCCAGATACAATTCTGTATATCTGCAATGAGCGCTTCTAATCTCCTAGTTGATATCCAGCTTTCCCACTGCTGCTTTTTTCCTGCGATGTTGCTCTGCATTCATGGATTCTTTAAACTCCTTGATTGCCTCCCACTGCTAAATTATTTTGCATGGTAGGGATGGAATTGATTGAAAGTAACAGTGATTAGACAACTATCACAGAACTTAGGAGATGGTAGTTTGGAAGGGGATATTAAGTGCATTAGGTTAAACTTCTTCATGGCTAGTGGTTCTTGTCACCAGACCAATGAATGATATATATATATATATATTAGATAGGCCCTGTGCCTGGTCAGAAATATAGTGAAAAGCTTTCACATAATTTCCTTCGGATTGAGCTAACATCTGTTATGGTTGTCATTCGAGTAAAAGAATCTCCATTCCATAATCATATTCTCCCCTATGTACATAATGAGAATAATACATGGAGTCAAAAAAGATTAAAATAGGCCTGTTTGTTGGCGGCAGTGTTTTTAAAGGCTCAAGGTGCAGCAAGGCGCTGAAGGTCTCTTGGGGCCTAGGCACAAGGCAAGGCAAGGCAAGGCAAGACGCGGGTTTTATTGAAGCAAGGCACACAATTTTAGTAAAACTCCCCACAAACTGAGAAGTCTCTCACCGATGGAAAGTGTCCAAACCTATTATGGTTTCGGCCAGTGCCAGGCTTATACAGCTTCGATCCTCCTTGAGACGTTGAGCCACTTCAATTAGTCAGATTCTGACTCTGCTACCACTAGGGTTAAGAAATAATGGCAAACAATCATATGCAGAGAGCATGTTGGCGATAACCTCGCCAAAGAAGATCACGCCCGTTCCCAATATCAAAGAAACGGCGAATCAGGCCAAAAATGTTCACATCTCCGTCATGAGCCAAAGACTTAGCCTCGTTAAAAGAGACGCCACATATCCGTTCAAAAGCCTGCGCACGGCTGAAAAAGGATTGAGGCATAATTTCATCATTGCGTAGAGACTCCATTAACACTTGAAACTCTTTGAGAGTGGGACACATCTCTTGTGATCCAAAGCGAAGTATATGAGAAATTGGGTCCTAACAGCCGGTAGCGACATGGAGGAATGGAAAACAAAGTGAAGTGTGACTCAAAGTAAAATGAGCGTTTATGCCAAAACCGTTGAAATTCACCTTTTTTGTGTTGTCCAAAGTGTTTGAGCTTCTCCACAAGGAAAATCTCCATTTTCAAAGAAAACTAGCAGAAAAGATGAGGTTCTGTCGAATAAACAACAAGAAAAGACCTTTATAGAAAATAAGGTTGTGTGAGTGGCTGACAGTTGTTGCTTGTTGTCCAGCTGCAAGTCTTGGTTGGTCGGCCACTTACCTAGCCGGCGGTATATTCCATTGGCCGACTAGCCAAGCATGCCAACCAAATAGTTTGGCAACAGTATTATGTCTACCATTTTTGTTTTTGAGTCTTGTCTTGGGTCTTTTTTTTTCTAGTAAGTGTGTATAGGTGTACTTAAGTTGTTTTTACTTTGTCTTTCCTTTGTTGAGTCATTGTTTGTATTTTGGTCAATTTTAGGCTTGATATCCGATTGAGAACATATTCAATTGTGATCATTCTCAGTTTCAAATTCAGAAATACAATAATTTTTTATGGAAGTGTTGTGTCATTCTCGAGATGCTGTGTAAAGAAAAATTTCTTCCGTTTGTAAAATTGCAAGGTTCTACCCCGATCATAGTTTTTACAGAAAAGAAACTACAAGTTTTCAAAATAGAAAAGACCTATCTGAAGCTATACAAAGTTTTGAACTACCAAAACAAATGAAAAGAGTAAAAAGAGTGCAAAAATTAGTGTCAGTCACATTAGGTGTGTCGAGAAGCCCTCTTAGTCCTCTTCCAAGGAGGAGACTCAGGGTCACTGTCACCATCAGCACCGCTATCGTCAGAGGAGTGTGATTTAGAGCCAGCCACATCCTCTCTGCTCTCAGACTCGGAGCGCTCGCTCATCGTCCCCTTAGTGCCGCTAGTCTCGGCATCATCTCCACTCAAAGTCAACTCTAGAGATGAAGAAATCTCTTGTGCTTGAGACTCTTCACTTTGACTCTGGGCACCTTTACCTCTGCCCCGACCTCTACTCCCGCCCCTGCCACGTATAGGAGCTTGTCTACCTTTCCTCCCCGCAGTCAGAAGAGGTGCCGTTGGTGCCACCGATGCCGCAGGTACAAGCAGAGGTTGAAAGCAAGAAACAGAGTATCAGTTCAGTTTGGTGCAGAAACAGTATGAGTATGGCAAGAATAGAATCAAAGCAGTCAGATGAATGAGAAAAATAGAGTACCTGATGGCCATGGTAGGCGAGCAGGCCTCTATTCTCTATACTATCTGGACCAAGGAGTCAACAAATTGAAAGAGGCCATCCACGTACTCCAACGGCACCTACAAGTGAGTTTGAACATCAGTATGCAGAAAAGAGAATATGAAACATAAACTGCAAGACAAAGTACATACCTACTGCACGTCGGGATCCCTAACATACTCGCGCTCCTCCAAGTACTCAATCAGAATTTGGTGGGCCATCGCACTCAACTGCTAGTAGGTGATTGCCATCAGAATCTCAGCCAGACCAGCAACAAATACAGCAGGGGAAGCACCCGAGCATCAGGGTCAGCCATAGGAATAACCCCTCCAGCATGAGGCTCAGCTGCACAAGTGGCAACTCTGGAAGCGGGAACATTTGTAATGCCTCCCTCGTGAGCTTTGGTCAGAGACAGCATAGTTGGGTTTGGATGAACTCACAATAATCCCCAACCCCAAGGAGTAGATTGGCGTCTTACCTCACCATGAATTGCACAATAGCCTCAACTAGTAGACTATCGGCGGTCCTCATGGATGCAAGAGGAGGAGTAGGAACAACGGGGTCTGATAGGCCCAGGGTTTGGCTCATGAACATCTCCCCCAAGTACCACGTCCTGCAGAAAGGACCCTCCAGTAAGATCCACAACCTGGAGGCATCCCAGGACTCGGCATACTCGTCCCTTGTCCCGACCGGCATGACCACCCATGGTTGCCACGTAACTTGCAAACAAAGAATTCACAATTGTTAGTTGTTGTCAGTTGTCGAGGAATGGAATGGGCCAAAGAAATAGAAATGGAATGGAAGGGGCATGAGTTTCAGATTACCTCACACATTGTCACTATGTCGAAGAATCGGTAGTAGTAGGCAACGGTGGTGACATTGCGGCACTAAGGATAGCACCAGCCGTCATATCGCCTGGAGTGAGGCACACCTGCCTCTACTTCGTCTCTCAGCACCAGAGCAAGCACAGGGAAGTAGGCATATACTTAGAGCTGCAAGAAAAGATCAATTTGTGAGTCAATAGGTAAAGACAGAAATACAAGTAGAAACAAAAATAAAGACAAAGAGAACAGAACATAAAGCATTGTTTATAACAAAAATGAAATAAAAGTGTAGAATGTACCTCCCAAGCTCTCCAGTAGCCTCCGACCATGTTCCCCTTCTTGTGGGATCCTGAGCTCATGTAGTTGTACAAGGTGGCAAGGCCAGTGCCATCCTAGTTATAGAAGCGCACTTGTGGCAACACCACCAAGGCACTGAGCAGATATAGACCCACGGTGTTTTACCTGCTCACAAACAAGGTGGTACCGAGAAGATAGATCAAGAAGCCTTGAGTGTACTGCTTGATCAGCTCCTCAATCTCTAGCTGACACCTATGGAAGTGGTCATAGAACCAGCTATATCTCACTATGGCTGGCCTATCCAAGTCAGGGCGCGTGCCAAGCAGATAGATCTAGGCAGCCTCCCACTGGCCCATGACAAGATCGAAGGGGATCAAATCACCTCCTACTCTCAACCCCGTAATCATGGAGAAGTCCTATGGGGTCATCTTCATCTCCCCTATGGAGGAGAAGTGAAAGGAGTTAGTAGTGTCCCACCACATCTCTACCAGAGCACCAAGCAAGAGTCGGCTCGCCTACAGCCATGAGAGCCCTGAGCAAACTAGGTCGAAGCTTGCCTCATTAACTAACTCTTGGACTCTGGTGGGGATCTCCTGGTACCAGTCCCTCGCAGTCACTGCCCTGTAGCCTCTCCATGCAAAAGCATCACCTTGTGTTAAAAGAGGAATTTGTTAAAATGCATGGCAGATGAAAGATTGTAATGAATGTCAAAGAAAACAAAGTACATAAAAAGGAACAACAGTTCTTACCTTAAAGACGTCTTGGGAAAGATGTGATGCACGCTTCCTCAAGAGGAAGTCCTCGGCCATATCCTAGGCAAAGTCCTCAAATTGCAGCATGTTGCCAAGCGTTATTACGTGTGTGCGTGGGTGGTAAGTGGCTGGGTCAAAAGGCCTCACCCTCAATGATAATGGTTGCGGCTCAAGCTTTGGAGAGTAAATCTCCTCCACAGCAATGTCTCCTGTCATCCCGTCCTCCTCTTCAATCATTGGCTCCTCCACACCCGCAGCGGGTGGAAGCATCTGCACCTGGAGGGGGTGTAGACACCCCATTTTTGACCATCCTTATGACTTGCATGCCACCGATTGTTCACCTAATGATAAATTTGTATATGCTTGTCAAATGCTCGAAGTCCTCAGTAGAATGTCTTAGCTTTGAGCCTCAAAACCCTATGAACCTCTTGCCTTGGTTTTGGACCAAAATAGCAGTTTTTCAAACCTAAACATCCTGGGACCTACAAACCCACTAGAGTGGACTGTCGGCCACTAGTGTGGACTGCCGGCCATTATAGTGGCTGCCAACCCACTATTTGTGGCCTGCCAGCCACTTGTGTGTTTTTTCAAATCTTTTTGCCCGCTATGCTAGCTATTTCCATAGATGTATACACCAATCCATACGTGTCTGTATAGATATTTCTGAGGTGGTCTCATGGTTTTCTATATATAGATGACATCCCCTCTTATTTTAAAGGTTAGAAAAAATTAGGGGCAAAAATTTTTCTTTCTCTCTCTCTCTCTTGCAAGTTCTTCACTCTTTGCCTATACACTTTAAACTAGACCTTGTGGTATTTGTGCTGAGGTGTTTTTGAGCTTGCATTTAGCTATTGAGGGTGTGTAATTGTTGGTTTGTAACTCAGAAAGGGTATCCCTCAACAAGAGGTATAATTCTTAACTTGTTTCCCTTTTTAATTGCCATCTTTTCTACTATTTTTTGGAACTATTTTTACACTGAATTTCTGGGCTGAAACTGATGGTTTAAGGCCATTAAGGGTGGAAGAGTGGATCACCCTTCTTTGCACCTAACTTGTTAAGCCTTTGCCCTTGTGTTTCCCACCTTTCTATTATCTTTTTTTGAGCTTTTTACTCTGAATCTCAAAGGTTTTTCACAGGCCAAAATCATATTTTGAAGTCCCAAAAATTGAGGGGGTAGCCTCCCCTTCTTGTGCTTGGTTAGTAGCTTAACTTGCTCTATATTGTAGATTACTCTTTTAGCTCTTTTGACTTCAATTCCAGCACTGTTTTAGCCTATTTTAGGACTGTTTTTTATGTGTTTGTTCCAATCATGATTTGTATTGCAGGCTTGTAGTGTAATGGTCCTCATAGGTTTGGTGGTTTAGGCCTTAGCCACAAACCTATTTG